ATCGAGAAAAAGAAGAACAGTCAAGCCCAAAGCCAAAAGAAGAGAGGAAATTATAAAAATCAGAGTAGAAATCAATGCAACAGAGACTAAGAAAACAATCCAAAGAATCAATGAATCAAAGAATTGGTTCTATAAAGAATAAATAAAATTGATAATCCCCTAGCCAACCTTATTTAAAAAAGGAAAGAAAAAGCTCAAATTCATGCAATAAGAAATTAAAAAGGCAAAATCACTACAGTCTCTATAGAAATACAGAAGATCATCAACACCTATTTTGAAAACCTCTACTCTCAAAGGTTTGATAACACAGAAGAAATATAGTCCTAGAAACATATGAAGTAGCAAAGCTAGGTCAAGAAGATGTAAAACTGCTGAATAACCCAGTTTCTATTAATGAAATTGAAAATGTAATTAAATCCTTACCTACAAAGAAGAGCCCAGGCCCAGATGGATTCACTTACAGAATTCTCTAAGAAATACAAAGAAGATTTAATGCCGACACTCCTCAAACTCAATGAAATTGAAAGGGAAGCAATCGTTCCTAAGTCATTCCTGCAAGCAAATATTTCTCTAGTACCAAAACCTGAGAAAGACCCAACTAAAAAAGAGAACTATAGACCAATCTCCCTTTTGAACACAGATGCAAAAATCTTCAATAAAATATTGGCAAATAGTATGCAGCAAATCTTCAAGTGGGATTCATTTCAGGCATGCAGGGATGGTTCAACATACATAAATCAATCAATGTAATCCACCATATCAATAAAGCCAAACGTAAGAATCACATGATCATTTCTATAGATGCAGAAAAAGCTTCTGATAAAGTCCAATGTTCATTTATGATAAGAACTTTACAGAAAATTGGAATAGATGGTCTTTACCTCAATATAATAAAGGCTGTCTACGACCAACCAACAGCCAGTATCACATTAAATGGCCAAAAGTTGAAGGCTTTTACTTTAAAATCAGGCACAAGACAAGGATGTCCCTTATCACCACTCCTATTTAATATAGTACTGGAAATACTAGCCAGAGCAATTAGACAAGAGAGAGAAATAAAAGGGGTAAAAATAGGAAAAGAAGAAGTTAAATTATCATTGTTTGCAGATAACATGATACTCTACATAGAAGACCCCCAAAACTCCACTGAAAGACTCTTAGATATAATAAATAAATTTAGTAATGTAGCCGGACACAAAATCAATACTCAAAAATCAATAGCATTCCTATACACTAACAACAAAATCACTGACAGAGAAATAAGAGAAGCCATACCCTTCACTAGCAACCAAAAAAATGAAATATTTAGGAATTACTCTCATAAAAGTGAAAGACCTATACAGGGAAAATTATAATGCAGTGAAAAAAGAAATTGACAATCTCAGAAAATGGAAAGACATCCCTTGCTCATGGATAGGAAGAATAAATATTGTGAAAATGGCCATTCTCCCAAAACTCTTATACAGATTCAATGCAATCCAAATAAAAATACCATCAACATACCTCATAGATCTCGAGAAATCGCTCCTAAAGTTCATCTGGAGCGAGAAGAGACCTAGAATAGCAAAGACAGTTCTAAGCAACAAAAGCAAGGCAGGAGGTATCACAATCCCTGACTTGAAGTTATACTACAAAGCAACTGTAGTAAAATCAACATGGTACTGGAATCCAAACAGAGCTGAAGAACAATGGAATAGATTAGAAGATACAACCACAACTATAAACACATTCAACCACCTTATCTTTGATAAAGGGGCCAAACATGTTCACTGGAAGAACGACAGTCTCTTTAATAAATGGTGTTGAAAAAACTGGCTCTCCATATGCTGAAACCTAAAACTAGATACATGGCTATCACCATATACTAAATTAAAATCTAAATGCATCAAAGAGCTGAATATTAAAACAGAAACACTAAATCTGTTGGAAGACAAATTGGGTAAAAACCTTGAAGACATAGGGGTAGGTAGAGAATTCATGAACAGGACTCAAACCGCATGGGAAATATTTCCCAGAATCAATAATTGTGATCACCTCTTATTAAAAAAAGTTTCTGCATGTCAAAAGAAATCTCCAGCATAGTGAAAAGAAAACCTACAAACTGGGAAAAAATCTTAGTGAACTCTTCCCAGACAAAGGACTTCTGTCTAAAACACATAAAGAATTAAAAAAAAATCAGACCCCCAAAATTCAAGGATCCAATCCGAAAATGGGCATCTGAGATGAATACACAATTCTCAGATGAAGAAATACAAATGGCAAATAAATACATGAAAAAAATGTTCATCATTATTACTCATTAAAGAAATGCAAATTAAAACCACATTGAGATTCCATCTCACTCCTGAAAGAATGGCCAGGATCAAGAAAACCATCAACAACAAATGTGGGAGAGGATGTGGGTAAAAAGGAACTCTACTGCACTTTTGGTGGGATTGTATACTGGTGCAACCATTGTGGAGGTAACTCTGGAGATTTCTCCAAAAGCTGGGATTGGAAGTCCCATTTGTTCCAACTATTCCACTTCTAGGCATATTCCCAGAAGAACTGAAATATATGTGCACCCATGTTTATAGCAGCACAATTTGTAATAGCCAAATCTTGGAAATAACCTAAGTGTCCATCAACTGAGGAATGGATAAAAAAGTTGTATTTTTAAACAATGGAGTACTACTCAGCTATAAAGAAGGATCACATTTAGATATTTATAAATAAATGGGTGCAGCTTGAGACCGTACTCATCAGTGAAATAAATCAAACACACATGTATGAATGCCAAATAGTTTCCCAGTGTAAGAAATGATACAAATAAATAAAATATGTGTTAATCATGATTCCGCATTAAATGGCTTTGAAGCCTAATAAAGTTTCAACATACATAAATCAATTAATATACCACAACGCATGGAAAGGCTAAAGAAGAAGAATCACATGCTTATATGCAGATGCACAAAAAGCATATGATAAAAGCTAATATTCAATCATGAAAAAAGTCTTAGCAAGATATTTACAAAAGGGAACTTCCTCAATTTGCTAAAGTACATCTATAAAGTTCCTACAGCTAATAATGTGAGGTGAGAAAGGTGACAAACTTGAGTTTTTTGCCTATATAAGACCATTACCTAATCAATCTTCTCTCCTAGAAGAAACATAAAAACCAATTGAGGAAAAATCTTGTAATAAAGGACTTGTAATAGAAGATTTAGGAAAGGCAGCCCACTTGACATTTTAAAAAAACAAGAGCAAAAATATTAGCGAAAAAAATCTTGAGTGCTTTCAGCATTGTTACACAAACTCACACAACCTGAAAACTACTAATTTTTGATAATTAAAATCAAACAGCACCCAGATGATTTTTCTAAAACAAGTCTTTGTTGGCTCCAAGAAAAACAACAACAAAAACACTAGACAACAACCATTCCAAGTTTAGCATTCCAAGTAGTATTTTGCTTAAACATTTCAGTCACATATCCACTGCTACTCTGAAGAGCTGGCTAATTTCTCCTAATATACTCTCATTTAATTGCTACATAAAAAAATTGGCTCATTTTCTTTCTCTAGAAATATAAGATCTCCTACTGTTGGTGTGAACCACTGAGACCTTCTATACAATTAGTGCAATAATTTTCTTTGTATTTTAATCTCTGAGTCATGGCTTCCACGTGTTTGGTTTTCAAAATTAGTTTATTTGGCTAATTTAGCAAGTTTTCTTAATGCCCAAATTATTGAGTTACTCATCAAGGCTATTAGGGAGAAGCTGCTCTGAATTAGCTGGGATTGTGTGTGTGGAACTTCATTATTTTCATTAATAAAATAAACCTAAACACCTTCACACTTTCATTTAGGTTTCTTTTTTTGCTGCAGTCACCAAAGGTCTTTCAAGAAATACTGACTTGAATTTCTGGGAAGAGCTTTAGGCACAGGGGGGTACTGAATGATTTTGTCTAGTGTGCAAATGCAGTGGGAAGTGTTTTCTTCAATTACCAAAAATAAAAGAAGTTGGTAAAAAAAAGAGAGCAAAACACAGCATGTCTCATCCTGTTCCTATAAGCTCAGTGTTTATTTTTTAAGTACTGAATTTCTTGACTTTGTTAGCTTGCAAGCTACTATAAGGTTGTGTGATATCCTAACATAACCAACATTGTCCCTTAAAACTCTGCATTCCCTGTCAGCTTTTTCGATTGTCGCTAGAACCTTCATTTTCATCTTGATATTCCCGTGGCTTTAAGTCCCGTATCAGACCGCAATCCAACAGTACCCTCAAAGTCTCTTTGGTTATTCATGTTCAACCTGCACTGGTAAGCGAGGGAAAACATTTCACCACCGCTTCCTAAAGGTAACAAAACGCGAGAGCCTGTCTCCATTTTTTTTCTTTAACGTATCCACCAAAGCTATCCATTCTAATCCTTTCAATTTTTTCCCCACATCTTCCCTTGGCCAATTAAACCTCGGGCTTAAATTTAAATCAGTCCTTTAAAGAGCTCCTAACTGTACCCAAGTTCCTCCTCCTAGTCCTCTGCTTCCCAAAAACAATGCCTCGTCTTTCTTTTAGGTTCCAAGCTGTTTTCTTGTTCCACACCAGAGCCGCGACGCTCCGACTTCCCCCACCTATGGCTGAGGCCCATCTACTGAACACTCAGGGCCGCTTCCGCCCGTTTCTCGCCGGAGAGCCACTTCCGGGTTTCTGGTGTCCCTACTTTACCGGTCCGCCCCTCCCCCAGGCACTTCCAAGAGGCATGCTCTAATCACTAGCAGGGTCAGAACTGGGGCACAGGTTAGCTAGTGTGAGTTCTTCAGGAAGATTAACAGAATGTCTTCAATGACCTAGGAAATCTAGACAGAGTGGGCCGTCACCCGGTAGCGTTGGTGGCGCACGCGTAGGGCCGGGGCGCGAGCGCGCGGGGGGGGGGGGCAGTGTGTTGTCAGCTTTCAGCAGCTCACACCCGGAAGTTGCGTGAAGCACCAGCTGCGCCGTCGCGGGGGGCGGGTGCCAGGTACGCAGAGGAAGAGTGAATCGCGCAGTGTCCAGCGAGAGTGTCAGCTGAGGGTGGTGGCGGGAGCGACAGCAGTCAGGTTCCAGCTCTGGTTTACGGCAGTAGATCCGGCTGAGTTCCGGGAGTTTGGGGCCCGGCAGTGTGGTTAAGTTGAAGCAGGCTGGAGGAGCCCACTTCTGCTCCCCCTCCAGGGGACCCACTCCCCTCTCACATCGCTGTCTTTCCTCTTCCTCTCCACACCAGGCGAGGTGAGGCGGGATTCTGGTGGCGAGGCTGTGGCCTGAACCTGGAGACCACTTTAGGATTCTTTACTTCTGGGTCGAAGCCAGAGCCTGCTTTTCTACCTTTCCAGCCTTTAGCATTTTTTATTTATGTATTTATTTATTTTGCTTCGCTGTGTCTTTGACTAAGTTCTAACGTTTTTGTCTTCACCCCTTTCAGCATTTGACTTGGACGTCTAACCTTAAAATATGCTGGAGTCCTATGTAACTCCAATTTTAATGAGCTATGTGAATCGCTATATCAAGAATTTAAAGCCTTCGGACCTACAGCTTTCACTATGGGGTGGAGACGTAGTTCTCAGCAAGCTCGAGTTAAAGTTAGATGTGCTGGAACAGGTAGGTTTGTAACTGTCATTGGAAGCATTTTCCGCTTGTTTTGATAGATTCTGTTTGCCATGCTCTGGACATTGTGCATGAAAATGTAATTTTACTGCTAATGTAGTTTGAACTACTCTGAGACTTACAGCATTTTTTCAATGGTTTCTTTTAAGTGAGAGTTTTATTACTCTGATAAGAAAATTTCATAGTCAAATTGTTCATATTTCTCTGGCGTTACCGATATGCAGATGTACATTATCGAAATTCTGTACGATGTTGAAAACGTTGGATTCCTGTTGTCGTTTTTGAGCAGTGGCCTAGTCTGAAAGACAGCAGGGTTATATCTTGAGGAAAAGTTCTGTCTGTGACTAGGAACTATAACATCCGTGAGATCTGCAGCAAATTGAGTAGAACACTTCAAGAATGACATTAAACTTGAAACTTCTTTTTACTCACTTTTAAAAGTTTATTTTAACATGCAGATTATCTGATGCAGATGAACTGTATCTTTAGAGTTTATTCGGTTAGCACATTTAATAGGGATATATGTGAAGCAATTTTTTCATGCTTGAAATATTTGTGGGAGCTCGAAAGATTTAAGAGACCAACCACTTTTTAGCGAGTAAGGGAAGACTTAAACTGATGGTTGTGGTTTTATATTTTGTTTGCTCCATTGTTGAATACAGTAGTATTGAAACTTGACTCCTTCCCCATCCTTCCTAAAGGTTAACTGAGTGTCTTAATGTTTACACTTAAAAATTCTCAAATAAGCACAAACTCTCCTTCTATATGAATACCTCACTTTTTAAACATGGACACACCTGGACAACTACCATACAGATCAGAAAATAGAATATTTCCAGCGCACTAAAAGGCGTTTTTCTGCTGCTTTGTAATCAGTACTTTGAACTCATAAAAGAAGTGACTGCTATTCTGACTTCTATTGAGTTAGCTATATTTTCTCTTTTCTTGAACCTTAGTTAAATTAAATCATTTGTGTATAGCATTTTTTATTTAATTCTGTTCTATTCATCTTATTGGATAAATAGAAATTTATTCTGTGGTTTGCCTTGTAGAAAGATTCTACAATTTGTTTACCTATTCTCCTGTTAATGAATTTGGGTTGTTTACAGTTTTGGCTGTTATGGAGAAAGCTTCCATGAATATTCTTGTACATGTATTTAGATGGACATACGTATTACTTTTTCATAGGTAGGTATATAGGAGGTAGGCATATAGTTAGGGTTAATATATACTGCCAAATAGTTTTCCAAAGTGGTTACGTTAACTTAAAGTCTCACTAACAATGTATGAAAATTCTATTTATTTCACATTTTTGCTATCCTTGGTATATTTGTTATTTTAATTTTAGCCTTCCTGACGAGTGGGTAGTGATAGCATTTTCCTAATGGATAATGATGATCGCTTTCATATGCTTGTGGACCATTTGGGTATCCTTTTGTAAACTCTCTATTTTGCCTTTAGAAAATAAAACGTGTTTTTCTGTCTTTGTCTTATTGATGTTTGGGAGTTGTTTCTGTGTTTTTGTTTTGTTTTGGTTTTTTTTGACTTGGGGCTTGAGCCTGGGACTTTACATAAGCTGACCACATGGGGGTTGGGGATTCATTACTGTTTGTTGTTGTTGTTGTTGTTGTTGTTGTTGTTATTGTTGAAGGGAGAATTAGTTCTTTGTTAAATATGTTTTGCAGTATTCTTTCAGGTTTTAGCTTGTCTTTTTACTATTTTAAAGATATTTTGGTCAGCAGAAATTTGTGATTTTATTGAAGCCCAGTGATCTGTCTTTTCCTTATGGTTAGGGCTTTTCATGTCTTAAGAGATCTTTGCCACTTTAGCTTGTCTAGCACTTTTTGGTATGTTCTTTTGGATTGTGTGTGTAAACTTTCATGTCATCTATAAATAGGTCCAGTTTTTCTTTTTTTAAAACTAAAGAATTTATTTATAGATAGAAAAGGAGGAAAAGAGAGACAGAAAGCTACTCAGAATGCATAGGAAGAATTCAAAAGTGAATTGCTCCAGTAATTCCAGTTTTACATCTTTTATAAAATGCTTGTAACATTTGTTTACTTTTCTTTAATTATTTCATTGAGGAGGACCTCTTATACAATGTGGAGCAGAGGTGATGGTGAGAGGACATTTAATTTTTGTTCCCAGGTTTAGTGGGAACTAAATATTATACTGATGTTAACTGCGAACACCCTTTATTGGGTGTTCTAGTCTATTCTTGGTTTTCTAATAAATTTTAAAAATACTGAATTAGTATTGAATTACAGAATACTATATTTACTGAGTTTCTATCTTTCCATTTTTTTAATATTGGAAATTACATTGAATTTATTAAGCTAACCTTGCATTCCTTAGAATAAACCTCAGTTAGTTTTTATGTATTATCTTTTTTAGATATAGTTGCATATTTGTTTAGTTTTGTTGCATCTGTGTTTGGGATACTAGCTTGTTTTTCATTGTTGTAAGGTTCTTACTAGGTTTTGATTATCAGATATATTGATTTCATTAGATTATTTCCTAACTAGTCCCTTTTTATAATCTTTAGAAGAGTTTATTATTGATATTACTAGTTTTTTCCCTTTTATTGTCATAAAATATATAACATAAAATTTACCATCTTAGTTCTGGGGCATTAATTACATTCACATTGTTGTGTAACCATTACTGCCAACTCTACCTAGAAATATTTCTTTATCTTCCTAAACTAAATTTTCTATTCACTAAGCATTGTCTAACCTTCTCCATCCCCCTTCCAGCCTCTTGTGACCACCATTCTACTTTATGTCTCTATGACTGTTCTAGGTACCTCATATAAATGGAATCATTCAATGTTTGTGGTTGTGACTGGCTTATTTCTCTTAACATAATGTCTTCCAAGTTCATTCTTACTGTAGTGTGTGTGTCAGTATATTCTTTGTTTTGAAGGCTGAATAATATTTTATTGTATATACTTACTGCATTTTGTTTGTTCATTTATTCTTAAACACTTGGGTTGTATGGATCTTTTGGCTATTGCGAATAATGCTATGAGCAGAAGTGTAAAAATATCTCTTTGAGATCCTGCTTTTGCTTCCGTTATATATCCAAAAGTGTGATTGTTAGATTGTATAGTAATTCCATATCTAAGTTTTTGAGGCATTGTAATATTTTCTGTAGGGATGCACAGCATTTTGAATTCTTCCCAGTAAGCATAAGAATTCTAGCCAATCCATATCCTTGCCAACACTCATAATTTTTATTACTATTTTTATTACAGCCATCCTAGTGGATATCCTCATCATGTCTCATTTTTAAATTTTCATTTTCCTTATGATTAGTGATGTTGAGTATATTCTTGTGTATTTTTTGGCTATTTTCATGTCATCTTTGGAAAAGTACCCATTTAAGTCCATTTTTGAATCAGGGTCATTTTATTGCTGTTGCTGAATTATAAGAGTGCTTTATGTATTGTGGATATCAGTCCCTTAACATATATATAATTTACAAATATCTTTTTCCTGTTTTGGTCCTTTTACTCTGTTTATGTGTCCTTTGATGCACAAAAGTATTATTAGGCACTATTGGGTATCAAACCTAGGGTTCTTTATGACTGACTTACATTTTAAGCTCTTTTTCATTTTTCACACTAGTAATTGTTTTTGCTTTAGTTTTTTTAATTTTCCAAGTTGTTTACCTTAAATATAATAAAATGCATATTTGATTTATTAGTCTATCTTAAATTGGTACATTTACTGTTTCCTGAATAATCTTACAACAATTTAACTGTACATGTTCCCTTTTCCCTGCTTTAATACTGTGGTTCTTTTTTTTGTTACTTCTTTTTCCCCTCTAAAGGTAGAAGTTAATTATTAACATATCTTTTTTAAACTGTTATAATTATTTGCATCTATGCATTTCTTTAGCTGTACCTTAGCGCATTTTCATATATACTTTCATTTGTATTCAGTTCAAATGTTTTCAGAGTTCCCTTGAGTTGAATGTATATATTGGTAGTTGTTGAATGTATATACGTTAGGTCTAATTAGTTGACATTGTTCAAGTTTTCTGGTTTCATTACTTTATTAAAGTCTCCATGTTGTTAAATTGTCAATTTTTCTGTCTAGTTTTGTTAATTTTGCTTTATTTGGGGATTTCTGTTACTGTTTTACGTGTTTTAGATTTCTTCATGAATAGACAGTGACAACATTATAACATGCCCTGTTTGGTCTTTAGTTAACATTTTTTTCACATGAACTCTTATTTTGTCTGATATTAATACAATACTAACTTTGTATAGTTATTATTTGCATCATGTCTTTTTTATCTTTATTTTTTGTATTGTACATCTTTAAAAAATCTTTCTATAAATTGTGTTTTCACATCTAAGATGTGTATTTTGTAGAAAAGTATACTTTATTTTATTTATTTATTTATTTTTTTGAGACAGGGTCTTTCTATGTATTTCAGGCTGGCCTTGAGCTTACTTTGTAGCCCAGGCTGGTCTCGAACTCAAAATGATCCTCCTGCCTCAGCCTCCCGAGTGCTGGGATTATAGGCGTGAGCCACCACACCTAGCTACTTTTTTATATTTTTAAATCATTTGACAGTCTGCCTTTTAAATTAAATATATTAATTCATGTTTTGCAAATTAAAAGTTTCATTGTGACGTGTTCATTATGCACATTTTGTGCTGTAATTGTATTCATCTTCCCCATGACTCTGTCTTGTTTTCTCTCCCCTTGATCCTCTTACCTTTCTTAGTAGTCCCCCTTCTACCTTTAGGTCTTTTTTTTTCTTTTTTTAGGTTCTTCATGTGAGCAGAAGCATGCAATAGGCAGTAGGTATCTTTCTGTGTCTTACATGTGTTGTTTATTTTGCTTAATGTGATAACTTCTAGTTCCATCCATTTCCTGCAAATGACATGATCTCATTCTTTATGGCCAAGTAATATTCGATCGTATATTTGTATGTAATAGCTTGTTTTTATCCGTTGATCTGTTGACACTTACCTCAAC